AAGCCATCCACCACCTCTTGTTTTTAAAATGTTTTCCTGCTGTCTCTTCCACAATGGTCCCTGAGGTTTGGGGAAAGGGATATGATATAGATTTCCCTTTTAGGGCTGAACATTCTATAGTTTCTTACTCTGCTTGTTGACTAGTTATTGCTCTCTGTGTTAACTATCATCTACTGTCAGGGGAAAAGGCCTCTCTGATGAAGCTTGAGAAATTTCACAAACCTATTCGTATAGATATGTCATTAGGACTTATTTAAATACTGTGAATAAAAGTAGCAGGTTCTAACACACAGCCTATGACCTATCTAGTCTCCTGTTCTGAGCCCAGATAATGGTGCCAGGTATGGGAACCATCTCATTAAACATGCCTTAATCTAATCAGAAAGTGATTAGTTACTCCCATAGTAAGCTTCACCATCTATATATCTGCTAGATGGTTAGCATTTAGAGAACACTAAGAATCATGAAAAAAGCATCAAAATTAAAAATGCAGGCAAGGACTAAGTACAAAGTTCTCAAAAAACAAAATGCAAAGAGCTGGAAAACTGTATAAGAAATTCAGCATTTTTTTGTGTGTGTTTATGTTTTAAGCTTTGCAACTTTAACACTTGCAAAGGCCTTCAGTTTCAATTATCCCTCCCCATTGTTCCTCTTCTATCTGCTCTTCCACTGCCACCCATTTCATTTGTCCTTCCTGTTACATTAATCCCCCTTTATATCACTCCATTCTTTGTCCCCTCCCTTGAAAGCCCAATATTACTCCACATGGCCTCTTGCTATTTTTAGAACCTTTCTGTGTAATACAAATGAATAGCACATATTTGAAGATTCGAATCTAATAGCCACATACAGGAGAAAACAGATGATATTTGTTTTTCTGTGTCTGGGTTACTTTACTCAGAGCCATTATTTCTGGTTTCATCCATCCACCTGCCAGTTTTATAATTTTATTTTTTGTAAGAGCAGAATAATATTTATAAAGTGATGGGTGTCTAGTTTGTTATCTATTTTGGGGATATTGTGGATAGAGCAGCAAAGAACATGGATGAGCCAGCATCTCTACAGTAGGGTGTAAGTGCTTTGGATAGATGTCCAAGAGCAGTTTAGCTGGACCATGTAGTAGATCTATTTCTAGCTTTGTGAGGCCTTTTAGAACTATAGACATGTCCACACATATACATAAAAGAATTTTCGTGGAGTTACCACATAACAGTTTAACAATGCCCCTAATAGACACTGCAGGTTAGAAATAAAACCTCCAAGATGGGGATGTCTTTTTGATTTGATGTTCAGTGGGGTCCATCCCACCCCTAATCTCTACAGGCTATTGCCATTTCTCTGAACTTGATGGTAAGACTCTTTTGCTAAAGACACCATAACTTGAATCATAAAACATGGAGAAATCAAGTTGGTACTGACCTGTATTTTGCCTCTTGGCTACCTTTCATAGTTTTAGAAAGGTGGTATGTAGGCTACCAGAGGAGAAAAGTGGTCATCACTCCCACCTAGCTTAAAATTGTGAGCTAACTTAGTGCCTGGAAATGCCCATTGATGCAATCATGGCATGAATACTGTGGAAGTATCCATCTTTCACCTGATAGAGACTCTATACAGTGCGGTCTCTTGCCTTCTAAACCAGTGACTTCTGAGGTACCATCTCTTTTTGACAACCTCAGCTCTTAGTTGGTTTTCTATATGCTAAGAGGGGATATTTTCTTAAATCTCCTTTGTTGATTCTGCATCTTCTATAACTTAATACCATCTTCATTATTTTGTTCTAATGCTTTACAATCTGTGAAAAAGCAGTGTGTGTACTTCAGTGTGATAAATGTGTGGAAGGCCACAGTGGAACCCTGCAATTTAGTCAGTGGCTAGTTTGACCACGTGCATTGTAAATAGTTGTATAGGAGAAAGGAGTAACGTTTCTGGATTTATTTCCTAAGTCTTTAGAATCTAGAAAAAATGAAATACATGTCCTGTCAGTGATATTAAACAGAAAATGACAGCTATGTTTAATTTATCTGGCTCATTATTACAAAACCTTTTACTCATTTCATTTTTACTATATTCCTCTTGAAATATTTGCTCTGGTAAGAAGAAGCAAATATTAGGTTTTACACTCCATTTACTGGGATAACAGTGATGATAATCTGACATCAGAAAACCAAATATCCCTAGCTTAGTTCCAGAGAAGAATTTGCTCTCCAGGTGCATTGTCCTCAATAGTGTGCCCCACCCCACACTGCTCAATTCAAATTTCTTTAAACTTAGTAGAACACACACAAATATAACCCCATACCCAATACTTTGTTGGTAAAACCAATTACATTTAGCCCTTTTCACTCATGAGTGGAAAGTTTTCCTGCTCCATTCAACCCATTATTATGCTAGACAAGAGTCCCATATTGCATGGGAGCAACAATGTTACTTACAAACAAGCTGTTTCTTTCCAATAAGGGTAGAATTAAAGCAAATACTCATGGAAAAGAGCTGTTCTTTCCTTAATGGTATGAAACTGACAACTGGAGAATGCAGCATTTAACCCTGAATTATATCTTGGAATAGAATGGTGTTTTGCCTTCCAATTGGAAATTCCTTCTCCATTTGGTAGCTGAATCTCCCCGTAGAAAATTTTCCTGGATAAATAACAGAGAAAAAAGCAAAAAGCTAAGCCAATCGGAAATCTCACAGAATGACCTATTCTCAATACGTTTACTTTCTGCTGAGATTGAAAAGGCATACAACATCCACCATTTGTAGTGATAGTCTAATCCACCCAGTAAATACAATAAGCACATCCAAGCAAGCCAAAGGTGTCTCACATCTGCCTGTGAAAAGCCCCATTTCTCTAGCCAATAACTGATTGCTAGGGAGTTCATAAATCATGGGAGTAAATTAGGTGTTCTATTGACTTATGCAAGGCTTAATAAAATGATAAAATGAATGCTATCGCCCAAATTAACTTGAAAGTTCCCAAAGATAGAATTTGTAAATGGGTTTTAGAAAGCTCAAAATTATGGAAAATTAATTGCATTCAGTACAAATTTTTCTACGAATATTATGTTTTACTGAACTATTCAGTGAATGCTAATGGCTGGGTTTGGGGCCCAACTGCACCCTTCCTAGAATCCTGCAGCTCTAGTACTTAAGATGTTTTATAATGATTCTCTACTACACTTCGGGATGATTAAAAATGGTTTCCCTTAGTGTTCTGGCTGTTGAGATGTTAACCAGGCAAACAGAAAATTATTTGGGATAACAGGAAACTACAGGGAACCTATCAGGAAATCTCTATCAAGACCATTCTAATGTGGAAATTATTTAATAATGTAAAAACAATATTGGGTTGCATTGAGGTACTGTATTGCCTATAAATAAAATGCACCATTTGCCTAGGTCTGGTAATGAAAGTTGGAAAATTGATCAAGTTTCACTCCTAGAAAGATTCAGGTCATGAAATTAAACTCGGGCATGTTAATATTTGACACATTATTAGTATGCATCTTTGGGTTCAGTTGTGTCATTCCCATATTCCAATGCTGAAGTGCTGATTCCCTTTACCTCTGACTATGCCTATGTTCTGAATTTGGATCTTTAATGCCTACCTCTACTGCATAGATTTATTAATTTAGAAGACACTGAATAATTCAGTTTTCTTTGAGATATTAATAAAAATAAGTCACAGCCTTTTTAGCCTCTTACTGAGTCAAGCTGAGTTGAACGTGTTGGCTATGTGAAATGTGGGATGCTTATTGTAAAAGAGCCAAAACCTTGGTATACAGATTCATTCCCCATTCCTGATAATAATGCCAAGTGCTATTGTCCAGGCAGATACATATTATTTTGTGTATGAAAAGACATTAGAGTATCGCAGTTCTCAGAGGATAAGGGGAATAAATGTTTTCTGAATTTCAGTCCCTTCAGAGCACCATGTAATGAGCTCTTCTAAGCCAATGCTGAGCTGCAATGTAAACTCCTGTGTAATGAGCCATAGCAAGCTCTGTGTGGCCCCTATGGGTCAACTCTAAGAGATCAGGGCTCCTCCTCCTAAGTCCACTGTCTTCTGGGAAGTGCCTTCTGGTCAAGGTCTGCCATGAAAGGACACACAGGGAGCCCAGGTCAGAGAAGCTGGGGCTCTGCGTGTCAGCACAAAGTAAACAGCAGAATACAAATCATCAACTTTGTTCTAGGACTGTCTTTGTTTACAGTACCAGGGTAGAATTTTTAAGGACCTGCCACATTTGCATTGAGTCTGTCACTCACAGATCTAGTTTTGATTCTTGCCCCCCAAAATGATCTTGTGTTCCATAGGAAAAAAATATTTTACAAGGTTAATGTCAATGTCAGAAAATGTAAGCATCAAGCAGACGTTTAAAGAAATGAAGTTTGCTTAATGAAAAGGGGGTAATAACATTCGTCTAAACTAGCTTACTTGATTACATAGGCAAGAGTAGACCTTCTCAGGCAGTTCTGATTGAATTTACATGTAAATGTTGCAGCTAACCTTCATTTTTCTTTGATCAACAATGTTTCTCAGCTTAGCTCATGGTCTATGTAAAGTGCCTTTCAAATGGAAGAATGTCTTTGTTGAATGTATTCAGAGCCACAGAATGTAAGTAACTGTAGGGATAGATAGAAACTATCCAGTTTAACACTGATGCTTCTGTTTGGGGATTTTAAAACTCCAACTACAGACTAAGGAGATGACAGGGAAATCTGTGATTGGTTTCATAGAACCTACCCTATTTCATCAAGCCTGCATTACTGGGGAAATAATCCATGAATTCATATTTATATCAAGTTTGCTGTTGATGGGCAAAGGTTCAAATAAAGGTTAGTCCTACAGAAATGCCTATCATCTCCATTCTGCACTCCAGTGACTGCTGCTTTTTCCAAATATTGTCTTCTAGAACAGCAGAGGGGCTTAAAAATAGTCCATAAAAGATGGTTGGGTAAACTATCTCCTAAGATGAAATGATTATGCATCTCTTCTCTTCTAGCTCCCAGCTGTAGGAGGACAGTTGACATTCACCATCTCATACGACCTGGAAGAGGAAGAAGAAGACACAGAAAAAATCCTTCAGCTGATGACTATCTTACAGGTACAAAAATAAACATGTCACTTTACAACCATATGATACCATGATATGGATATTACCTGGGGTCACTCACACTGCTTTTAATTGGTTGGCTGACATAGATTTATATACTATGATAAAAAAAGAACCTTAGCAATTTTCTGACATGTCCATGTTTCAATCTGAAACATGTCAAGAAAATCCAGAATGGGTTCTAGTGACAAAGGAGACCATTTTGAAACATAAAGTTACAACATGATCATATTCCTGCACTTACAAAGTTATCTGATCCTTGTATTTAGGGCAATACTAATTTATATAATCCATTATATTGTGGATTTTATGGCTTGCTTTTTTGTTTATGTATTCAAAGGGAAAGGGGGAAGTAGCTTGTTGAGTTGTTGGTAACTCTTGACTTCAAAACCTTATTTTAGGAAGAAAATATATAAGAGAAACTGCCAGTTGGAACTGAAGGCCATGCACAATTCCAAATGCTGGGTTCAGTAACATGCTTAGAGCACTGTCTTACTCCCCTGTGCTGCCATAATGGATACTTTCACATACATACACATAGGCAAGCAGGCATGTGTGGTCGTGGTTCTAGAGAGATGATGCTGATTGAGCACTAGGCTATGTTCTTTTTTTTTTTCCATTTTTTTAATTTGAATTAGAACAAGATTGTTTTACATGTCAATCCCAGTTCCCTCTCCCGCCCCTCCTCCTCTACCACTCCCCAACTAAAACCCTAACTATCACATACCCTTTCTGCAACCCAGGGAGGGTGAGACCTTCCATAGGGGATCTTCAGAATCTGTCATATCCTTTGGGATAGGGCCTAGGCCCTCCCCCATGTGTCTAAGCTCAGAGAGAGTCCCTCTGTGTGGAATGGGCTCCCCAAGTCCATACCTATGCTAGGGATAAGTATTGATCTACTACAAGAGGTACCATAGATTTCTGAGGTCTCCTCACTGACACCCATGTTCCTGGAGTCTGGATCAGTCCCATGCGTGTTTCCCAGATATCAGTCTGGAGGCCAAGAGCTCCCCCTTGTTCAGGTCAGCTGCTTCTGTGGGTTTCACCAACCTGGTCTGGACCTTGCTTATTACTCCTCCTTCTCTGCAATTGGATTCCAGTTCAGTTTAGTGATTAACTGTGGGTGTCTGCTTCTACTTCCATCAGCAGCTGGATGAAGGCTATAGGATGGCATATATGTCAGGTATCAATCTCATTATCAGGGGAGGGCATTTAAGGTAGTCTCTCCTCTGTTGCTTAGATTGTTAGTTGGTGTTATCTATGTAGCTCTCCAGACATTTCCCTAGTGCCTGATTTCTCCTTAAACCTGTAATGACTCCCTCTATTATAGGATCTCTTATCTTGCTCTCTTCTGTTCTTCCCCCAGCTCAACCTTCCTGCTCCCTCATGTTTTCCTCACCCCTCCTCTTCTCCCTTTATCATTCTCCTAGCTCCCTCTCCCCTCCCCCCATGCTCCCAATTTCCTCAGGAGATCTTGTCCCTTTCCCCTTCCCCAGGGGATCATGTATGTCTGTCTTAGAGTCTTCCTTGTTTCCTAGCTTCTCTGGCAGTGTGGATTGTGGGCTAGTAATCCTTTGATCTGTGTCTAAAATCCATTTATGAGTAGGTACATAACCTGTTTGTCTTTTTGTGATTGGGTTACCTTGCTCAGGATGGTTTCTTTTAGTTCCATCCATTTGCCTTCTAATTTTAAGATTCCATTGTTTTTTGTTTTGTTTTGTTTTTTTTCTGCTGAGTAGAACTCAATTGTGTAAATGTACCACATATTCCTCTATCCATAATTCAGTAGAGGGGCATCTAGGATGCTTCCAGGTTCTGGCTATTACAAATAATGCTGCTATGAACATAGTTGAACAGAAGTCCTTGTTATATGAATGTGCTTCTTTGGGTTATATGCCTAGGAGTGGAATTGCTGGATCTTGTGGTAGACTCATTCCCATTTTCTTGAGGAGTTGCCATACTGATT